ACTAGGGTAATTTAACTCCTTCCCCTCCCTCTAGGAGCCAAGACAGAGACCTTCCTGGGGTCTGGAATTCCCACTGGGCTGACTGGGAATGCTGGGAACCTTCCAGTCCTAGCTTCTTGGTGCTTGATCTTACTCCTGAGGCTTCGCCCTGTGTGTGCAGTCATTGTGCATTCAGCAAAGACTGGGGGACTTCTAGAATTCTCCTTCCCCTCTGGTCCTCTGGCCACAGTCTTCCCTGGACTCTGTCTCCTTGGCCGAGCCCAGGCCCTGCTCTGCTGGGGCTCCCCTTCCTCCGGCAGAAGGCCAGAGCGATGGCCGAGCTCACGTCGCTGTTCCACCCAGGCTCACGATCCTCCATCTGCAGAGCTTTTAGTTTTTTGCTTAGTTTTCCAGTTTACCGAGGGAGGATGACACTGGACCCTGTCAGTCTGTCGTGGCCAGCAGCAGATGGCTGTGGATTGACCTTGAGCAGAGGCCTGGCGTGGCCCCGGTGGCATTGTCTGCAGTGGGCCTCTGTGAGGTGCTGCTGTCGTCCTACAGATGAGGAGCCCGAGGCTGAGAGGTGAACCACGTGCTCACGGTCACGTATTCGGCAACGCCCAAGGTCATGGACGCACCCTGTCCTGCCTCCCGGAGAATACCTGGGGAGTGGCAGTTGTCCCCCGTGTGGGACATCGCACAGTGGTGTAGGACAGTGGCCAGCAGGATAAGCAGCCACAGGCCTGGCAGGGCTGCCCTTTGCTCATCCTGGGAGCCATGGATGCCACAGGGTTGGCACGCGTTGGCCACCTTCCAGGTGTGGGACATCGCACAGTGGTGTAGGACAGCGGCCAGCAGGATAAACAGCACAGGCCTGGCAGCGCTGCCCTTTGCTCAGCTGGGGGCCCTGGGTGCTGCAAGGTTTGTGCAGGGGGCCCGCCTTCCAGGTGGGGAAGGGAGTGCTGCGGCAGCAGGAGCAGAGTGCCTCTGTCACCACGGTGGCTGGCTTGGCGTGGCGTGAGCCACTCTGTTCTGGAAAGTGCTCTTAGACGTAAGGTTTGTTCCCTTACTGTCGTCTCCTCTGGCCCTCGGTGATTCTGAAGGTGAGGGCTTAGAGCCTCCTGCCTGTCCCTTCACACCTCACCTGTCGGTTTCTAAGCTTTACTTCTGGAAGGTCTCCAGGGTCAAGTTTGAATTTAGTTTGCAGGGCTCTGTCCCGAGCCATGTAACAGGCTTGACATGCTAAGGGGCCAGCATGGGGTGTTGGAGGCTGTGTGTGGCTGGGGGTGCCCTGGAGCTGCGTGAGTGGGCAGCAGTCTGTGGTCTCCACCTGGCCCTGCCTCATATTTACCTGTTTCCAAAGCAGAGACAAATAAACAGGGAGCTCTCCCTCTTGCTTCTCGGATGCCCCGGAGGTGGGGTCGTGGTCCGGATCTCCCTGTGGTGGCAGAGACCCAGTTATGGGGGCCAGCAGACCTGGGACAAAACCCCACGTCCTCTGAGAGGGGATACAGGCCACGCAGCCAGCTCTCACCCATCCACAGGTTCACCCCCCAGTTTCTCACAGTGACCTGAGGCTGAAGCCAGGAGCTGGGAGCCCCCTCCAGGCTGCCCATGGCCGGGGAAGGAGCCCTCATGCTGCCTCCGGGTCCTGAACCAGCAGGCAGCTGGGGCTGGGAGCTGGACTGCGGCTCCCCGCCGTGTGTCTCAGGCACCCGGGGAGAGGCATCTGTCTCCAGCTGTGTGGGGTGATGGGGAGCATGGCCTCTTGCTCAGCTGAGTGGTCGGGCTCCTCCCAGGGTCCTGTTGGTGTCCTGGATGCGAACGTTCCCCCTAGGGCCCCTCAGCCTCCCTGGCCCCTCCTTGTACATGCCGGTGGGAGTTCCCAGTCCTGTGACAGCAGAAATGCCTCCTGTTCCCAGCTGTGCCCACCGCCACCCCCAGGGTTAAGTGGTTGGGTCACAGATTGACGAGGAGTGGACACGTTAGGTTCAGTGGCCTCTGCTTGCTCTGTCTGGGCTTGGAGATCCAAGTGGTTCCTTTTAATTGTCTAAAAGCCTGTGGTCACACATGCTTACTGAGTGCCAGTGGCCATATGCGTGGGCCTGAGGTGGTCAGGTGCCTGTCTGCAGGGGGCTTGGCATCCAGCAGTCAGGGGCGAGCAAGGGAGGGAGCGAGTGACTCATGTCAGGATGGGAAGCCTGGAGAGGAGCCAGGGCGAGTGCTGGGCCTGCTCTCCGGAAACAGGGCTGTGCAGGGCAGTGAGGCTGGCCGGGCAGGGTCCCTCTCAGAGGAGCTGGGGGATCTGCCGCAGTGTTGTCAGTGTTGGGCAGACTGCTGAGAAGTCGTCTGGCAGCTCAGCGGGTAAGGCAGCGCAGTGGGAGGGGAGGCCCACTGGGCAGGGGCTTTCTGCTCTAGCAGGGGCTCTGGGTTGGCGCTGGTGTGCTGGGAGCCAGGGCGCTGCCAGCTCCAGGCGCGAGGAATCGGGACGGGGTGCTGTTGGGGGTTCCTGGCCAGGGATGTGTGCAGGGGCTCTGCTCCACCCTGGGGAGCGTGGGTGGGTCCGGGTCCGGGTAGGGCTCGTGGCAGTCCCGGGAAGAAGCTTTCTTTTCCACTAGTAATATTTTGTGTGCATGTGTCTGTAATAGAATGCGTTGACAGGACGCACCGTTTCTAAAGGTGCTAACGTGAAGGACTGAAGGACGGAAGAGCCTGCTGGCACAGTGCGTTGTTCCCAGCTCTTCCCTCAGGCCGGCGTTAGCTCTGGAGATCAACCAGTCCAAAGGGAAATTTTTCGGATAGAGTGATTCAGCTTTGAGGCTTCCTTTCCTGTGTTTATCTACTCAGATAACCCAGGTTGTTGCCCCAGCGAAACCTGATTGTTTCAAGCAGAAGTGGAGCAGTTACCCCGTCAGCCTTGGCAAGCTCTCTGACCTGTCTCGGTTTCCTCATCAGCTTCATGCGCTTATTGGGAGAGTTACACGAAGCAAACGAGCTCGCCGAGTGCAGCACACACTGCTGCCGCCTGCCAGCTCAGGAAGACAGCGACCTTTAACACGGAATCATCGTGTGTTAGTGGGTAGAACCTTCGTTCTCTGCTGCCCATGCATCCATCCACTTGGGCCTGGGGACGGACTCCCCCGCACCTGCTGCTGGCGTAGGCCAGGAGGGCAGTCGCAGTGGGCAGGTGCTGCCCCTGGGGGTGTAAGCTGACTGACAGACACAAAACTGCAGGCCCGTTCAGTCCTCGACGGAGGGCACCTGGAGTTGTCATAGTGAGTGGGTACCGGGCGTCGGCCATAGCCAGGAATGTCGGATATGGCAGGCTTCCTGGAGGAAGTGTGGAGGAAGTGTCTTTGTGGATCCGAAGGATGGGTTACAGTGTCCAGAAGGAAGGGCAGCATGGGCCTGTGTTCTGCTGGGGGCAGTGCGGGGCTGTAGCGCCAGACAGCACCTGACACGGAGCCAGGAAAGAGGCGAGGCGCTGGGAGCCACACCGAGATGTTTTCTGAGCCCAGAGGACGAGAAGCCAGTGGAGTTGTGGCTTGCTGGATGATGAGGAAGGACGACAGACCTTCCTGTTTCCAGATTACCCTTTGGGAGCGATGGCCCCTGCACTGTGGGAGGTGGGTGCAGGAGAGCCAGCATGGCTGCGGGTGAGCTGACAAGGCTGCCACAGCAGTCCAGGCCGGAGCCCTTGGTCGCTCGGACCAAGGTGAAGGCAGGAGGAGCGGAGTGGAGTGGGAGGGCAGGCTCCATGGCTGCTTTGGGGAGGCTGTTGGCAAGCCTGCTGGGCGGGTTTGCTTGGGCGGCAAGGGGCAAGGAGCCGCGCTACAGGCCTCTGGGGTCCGGTTTGTAGTTTGCAGAGGTTCGTGCTGGACGAGGGCCTGCTTGGCAGAGGGAGGACGGCAGGTCCCAGAGTGGGTGGAGGGCTGGTGGGGGAGAGCCGGATGGATCGGGCTGCACGGGGGAAAGCTTGCTCCAGTTCTAACCCGCTCTTTGGGGCTGGCGCCTTGCGGCTGCTCTCTGTATCCTGGGACAGTGAGGCTCTAGGAGTGAGGACAGAGTCCTTGCCGTGTGTCAGCCATGTGCTGGTAGCTGGGAGGTTGGGAAGCTTTGGGAACCCTTTGTTGGGCAAAGGACTCGCCTCTCCTGCCTTCACCCCCTTCCTGGCTCTGTGCCCTGCCGCTGGCTGTTGAAGTAGCTTGGAGGAGAGCGGAGGCTGGAGGCTGGCTGCTGGTGGCTGGCTGCTGGCCGCTGGCATGCGCGCATTAGCTGCACCTGTCTGGATAGTGTCTGTAGGTAATTGACAATTGACTTTGAGCACTGGGAGCTGGAAGCTGACCCTGAGTCACTCCCACTGCCTGCTTTGTTCCTGAGGGGATTGTGCATTTCTGCAGAGGCTGCTTCTCTTTCCCCTTCTGTGAATTTTGGGCAGATCATTCAGGGTGGAACCAGGCTGGTGGGCCACAGTGCTGCCTGCCTACCTGGAGGTGGCTCTGGTTATCTCTCTGCCAGTCCCAAGGAGCTGGTTTCCAAGGCATTAAGCCTAGGGCTTTCTTTCCTGCTGTGGGGCGGAGTGTTTAGTGACCCATAGTAGAGGTGGGATTGGCTGAGAAAATCCTGTGCACAGGAAACTAGCGCCCCCTTGTGCTTCAGTCTGGTCCTCCACCTTGGCTGGTCTTGGTCAGCTGAGTTGGGGAGATGGCCAAAGGGCATAGTACTATCTTCAAGCCTGTTCTGGCTGCTTCACTGTTCCATGAATTCTGTTGTCATGCCTCCCAGAGGCCCATCGTGGACCCTCCCCAGCAGTAAATGAGCCTTGCTCCTGTTGGCTGGGATGTGAACCCAGAAACAACCTCTTCTTGTTTCTCAGGGAATTGGACTCCCGGGGCTAGCTGGGGCAGGCAGCTTACTGTGGGACAGCCTGCGAGCGTTGCTTGAAAACAGACTGTCCTGGGTCTTTTGCCGTCCATTGGGTGGCACTGTGATCTTATTTTTGTTTCTGTTTATCTTTGCAGCCCAGCTCTTCTCCAGGAAGTGAAAATGTGTCCCGAGAGCCGTTGGTAAGTACCCGGACGTTTGGATCCTCCTCTTGTGAAAGCCCCTTGCACTGCAGAGAATCCTGGGATGTGCAGGTGCGTGCGAGCAGTGCCCCTGACCCATCCGGAAGGTGCCGCGTGGACACCACCAGGCTGTGGCTTCTGACTCCTCACTCTGACCTGCATGCCCTCTCCTTAGAGAAGCTTCTGGAACCAGAAGTGCACGCCGGAGATGGTCGTACTCCACTGTGTCACCATTTGGCCGTCGTGAGGGAGATGACAGAGTGCTGGAGTTGAGGCGCCCAGGTGCTCCGTGTGTCCCCGGCATCCATGCTCAGCTGTCCATCGCCTTGCATGGCCGCTCAGGAACAGGCCAGGGAGGGATCTGGACGTGCCTGGTCGCTAACTAGGTTTGTGTAGTCTTGACAATCTCTTAGGCTGTTAGCGAGGAATTGCTTTGGTAGGCGGGGCCACGGTCGCCGCCGGTTCCCTGTATTTCCCTGTATTTTGTATTTGGGGGCCTATTGCAGAACCTTTAGTTCTGCACATAGCAGGTGTGTTTTAGCAGAGTTTAGCCTTGGGTTCACCTTCCGAAGTTACTTTCTCTGAGCAGCAACAGCAAGCTGAGGCGCATTGTCCTTCTGGCCCTTGTGGGGGCCCGGCTGCTGTGGGCCAGCCTGAATGAGGCAGGGGGGAGCTGGAGGAGGGCTGAGGGCACACCTCGCAGGGAGCAGGGTTGCGGCTGGGCCATCCATGTCTGCCGTGAGAGGCCCCCCCCCCCCCCCCCCCCGGCCTCCTTGCGTTCTGTTCGTCTTGGCCAGGCTCTTAATGGAGGAGATGGCCACAGCCGTGCCTCGGACCAGGAGCTGGGTGCCTCCCATGGGCTCCCGTGGGCTCCCGTGGGCTCCCGTGGACCCTGCCCTTCCGGCGGAGGCTGTGGTTGGTTTTCCACCAAAGCCCGGATTGAGCCCCGGAGTCCAGTCCTTTCTTCCCTCTGTGCTTTCCCCAGTCTCTCCATGAACGCTGACTGATGGCCCACCCATCTTTGGGGCGTGGTGGGTGAGCTCATGGGAGCCCAGCACTTGGTGGGCTCCCTGGTCTCTGGCCTCTTTGCTCAGCTAACATGTTCGTCCACTGCTTTTTTCCTGTGTGCAGTGCATCTGATGTTGGTTGGCTGGTTGTATTTTTATTTTTATTTTTATTTCTGGGAGGCCCTAAGCAGTCTTCAAACCCTGGTGGCCTGTGATTGTCCAGAGTTCAGACTCATTCTCTCCAGGCCAACTCTACAATTACCTTATATTTAATTAATATTTTTCTCTTCTTTACGTACTTGCTGCATAATTGCTCAGAGAAAAGAAAACACATAGCAGCAATTTATATATATATAAAAAAACCACAATAATTAAAAAAAAAACCCTGAAATAAACTCCCATCTCATTTGGGCTGATCCTGTGAGTTGGGTAATTAGGGCCCTATTAAAAGATAGGCCCTTTCTCCTTCCCCTCTTTTTTTTTTATTAATTTTTTTATATTAAACTCCCACAGTCTCTCAGTCATGCCCTTATTGCTTTTGGCCAACCATTTGCCGCAGCCTGATTAAATGAGGACACCGCCGAGTTGTATGGTCTTGTGCGAACCCCTTCTTGCTCCCGGGAATGGCTGTGAGGGTGTCTGGCGTGCTGGGGCTCTGTGGGCAGGTGGTGGTGAAGGGATGTGGCAGCCCACGGAGATCCGTGAGCGCCCCCCATGCCCGTCGCCCGCCCGCCGGCTGTGGTCCTGGGGTAGTTTGCGGAGGCACTCGGTGCTCCCCCTGCTCCGTCCACAGGAGGGCGCTGTCGGCTGCGTGTGCCTGCCTCTCCCCCGGGGACCAGTGGAGGGCTCAGGTTGAACCTTGCTTGTGGTTGAGACAAACACGTCTGAATTGGGGGAGCCGAGGGGGCCTTTGTGCGCCTGAAGCAGGTAGCAGGCAAGGCCTGGTTGCACTTGGCTGTGGCCAGCAGCTGTCTACGGTCTGGGGCAGTTTACTGGCTGCCAACTTGGAGCACTTCTGTGGAGGGTGGGGGGCTTAGGGCTTTTGCTTTTTTTTTTTACCGGGCTGAAGCCAAGACTGAAGGAATAAAGGAGACCAGTGGCTTCGGGGGAGGTATCCTCCCAAGCTGTGCTGGGTTTTGTTTTGAACTGAGTGTATATTTTCTATAATGTCTTAATGGAAGCTATATTGAAACAGCTAAGTCTCTGGCTGCTGAAGGTTAAAAAAATTTTTACCTTATTCTTTATTCCAGAACTAGACATTTAAAAAAAATATTTGTTTATTTTATTGGAAAGGCAGGTGTACAGAGAGGAGGAGAGACAGAGAGGAAGATCTTCCATCAGATGATTCATTCCCCAAGTGAGCGCAACGAGTGGAGCTGTGCTGATCTAAAGCCAGGAGCCAGGAACTTCCTCCAGGTCTCCCACTTGGGTTCAGGGTCCCAAGGCTTTGGGCCGTCCTCGACTGCTTTCCCAGGCCACAAGCAGGGAGCTGGATGGGAAGTGGAGCAGCCGGATATAAACTGGTGCCCATATGGGATCCTGGTACATGCAAGACAAGGATTTAGCCTCTAGGCTATTGTGGTTGGCCCAAAAGTCCATTAATACCTTGATAAAATTCAGGGAGCTGGTTCTGGGACCCTCTCTTGCAGTGCCTGTGCCTGGTGCCGGCCTCCCGACGACCCCAGCAGGCCCTCCTGGCGCAGTGTCCCCATGGCTGCATCGCCGGCGCCTGTGCTTCCAGTGCACCTGCTGGTCAGTGTGGCTAGGTGGTCCTCATTGCTTTCCTGCCCAAACCCTTTTGAAGGACAACATTCACGTGCTTGGTGCATTTCTGTGTGTGTGTAAAGATGCAGGTGGCAAATCACATTCCCAAGGCTTCCAAAAAATCCACGGAAAATGGAATTGAAAGAATAATTTGATGCAAAAATTTAAATCGATGCAAAGGTTTTCATAAAATAGTCTAATATTAGCTATTGGAGTGAGGGGCGGAACAGAGAGAAAGAGATGAGAGACAGAGACAAAGAGATCGCCCATCTGCTGCTTCGCTGCCCAGATGCTGGGCTGGGCCAGGCCACAGGCCAGACGGGGTGGGTGTCCGCTGGGGAGCAGGAGCCCAGCCCTGTGAGCCTCCCCGGCCGCAGCGGCAGCAGGAAGCTGGGCTGGACGTGCAGCATCTGGGACTCGGAGAGCTGAGGCGCTGCGACATGGGACAGGCAGCCACGACGCATAGTGCCTGCTCCATTAGTAACTTCGTAAGGGCCCTGGGATGTGTGTATTTCAGAGTTGTGTGTTTTTTTTAACATCACAATAAATCCCATTTATCCCATTTTCTAAAAGACTTTTCTTTTTTTAATTGAGAGATATACAGAGGGGAGAAGAAACAGAGAGGAAGATCCTCTGTCCACTGGTTCACTTCCCAAGTAGCCGCAATGACTGGAGCTGAGCCAGTCTGAAGCCAGGAGCCAGGAGCCTCTTCCAGGTCTCCCATGCGGTGCAGACTCCCAAGGCTTGGGCTATCCTCGACTGCTTTTCCCAGGCCACAGGCAGGTAGCTGGAAGGGAAGCAGCGCTGCCAGGATTAGAACCAGTGCCCATATGGAATCCTGGCACGTGCAAGGCAAGAACTTTACCTGCTAGGCTACTGTGCCGGGCCCATTTCCTATGGACTTTAATGAAGCGTTCTTATAAGCAAGTATTTGTAAGATTCAAAACATTTTGTGAGGAAATTAAATTGATTTTGATTTTTTCCATTTAGACCTTTCAGGAAACACATTTTTTTTCCCCAGAAAAAACAAATATATACATGGGAAACCCAATTTTCAAGTAATCATCTAAATTCGGATGCTTCAACTGTTGTTAGCGACATATACCTTGGGGTACTTCCCCTCTCCAACTGATAGAAACCTGGAACCCCAAATCAGGCGTGGACAGCTGGACAGCAGGAGGAGCGTGGGGGGGGGACGTGGGGGGAGCATTGGGGGAGACTGGGGTGGGAGTGTAGGGGGAGCATGGGAGGAGCCTGGGGGGGTCCTGGGAGGAGTCTGGGGGGGTCCTGGGAGGAGTCTGGGGGCACGTGGGAGGAGTCTGGGAGGAGCCTGGGGGGGTCCTCGGAGGAGTCTGGGGGGCACGTGGGAGGAGCCTGGGGGGAGCCTGGGAGGAGCCTGAGGGGAGCCTGGGGGCACGTGGGAGGAGCCTGGGGGAGTCTGGGGGGCACGTGGGAGGAGCCTGGGAGGAGCCTGGGGGCGCGTGGGAGGAGCCTGGGGGGAGCCTGGGGGAGTCTGGGGGAGCCTGGGGGAGTTGGGGGGTCCTGGGGGTCCTGGGGCGGGCAAGCTGTGCCGTGGATGGAGTTGTCGAGGCCTGCGCGTGTTTCTGGTGGCTGGGCTCCCTGGCCACTCGGGATTTGAAGGCCCCGCCTCGTCCCACTCTCCTTTGCCATACACCGGGGCGGGTTAGTGAAGAGGTGAGGCGGTGCCCTTGAAGTTGTTTCCTCTTTCAGGTAAATGAAGAGGTTGTTTTTCAGTTTTAAGATATCCTTTTACAAATAATTATTAGATGAATCGAAACTCTTAGGAGTGATAATTAAAGAAATGGAATTTGAAATAATTATTCACCTTTGTTTATACTCGGGTTCCTGGCGTTCACAGCAATACTCTACGTTTGCTGTGATCCCTGTAATCACAGACCCTGCTGGTCGGGACCAAGCAGCGCCCTGATTTTGCCTGTGTGGGAACCGCGGACTGAGCCCTCCTGGGCCGTTCTTGGGGCCACACGGTGATTGAGGAAGCTGGGTCTTTAATCTTGTCGCCAGCATCATTCCTTCCAAAGGAAGAGTTGCGTCCCCCGCTCCTCCCCGCGCGGTGTTGATTGGCGAGTCCCTGTGGGCGTCCTGCTGGTTCTGCACAGCTCTTACTGGGCAGAGGCACGCTCTTAGTTTGAGAGACTTTCCCAGTGCAGGTGTCTTTGGAGTGTGACAACAGGATAGCTAGCTATTCCA